TGCAGGGGTGTGCAGTAATATGAATCTATTTTCGGTGTGTATGATTAAATTTGTTCGACCTTGAAAAATATTGCGTCATCTGTGACTGCATTAGATTTTATCACTCCCAGACATTATTGTCTCGACTGTCGATTAGTTGTTCTACAGCCATTGTCTGTGATGGATGTTACTCCGAGGAAGCGTACGAAAATTGTAATGCTGCGCGAATTCACTGGCAAGCCTCCCCAGTGAGAAAATCAAAGACTGGACCGGAAACTCTCCTGGTTTAAATCCAATCAAGAATCTGTGGTCAATCTGCAAGGAACGACTTCGTGGAATGGACATACGAAGTACTAACATCTGCACTTGGTCATGTTTCATTGGAAAAATACGAAAAAAAGTAAATAATAACGGTATTATTCGTTTTGTTTCAATTAATTTGTACAAGGGTGTACATTCCAAAAACTAAGGAGAATATTAAGAAATTGAAAAATTTGCTACAAACAACGAAAAGAACAATAAACAGTTATCTGTCCTCTTATATGACAGAGAATTGTGGTTCTACAGAAGGATGCTGAGGATAGCATGGACAGAATATTTGATCAACGACGAATTTTTAGATAAAAATGAAGATGGAAACAAAAAGGAAAGTTATACTTCAGGAAGAGACAGTTGAGGTTTCTGGTCCACATCATGAGAAAAGAGGGATTGGAGAATCTGATACTCACTGGACTGAAGGCAAGTGAGACAGAGGAAAACAGCACAATACTGTTCCGCCATCCATTTACTGAGGTAAATGGATGGCGGAACAGGGTTTAAGAGAAATAACATAAAGATAAAATTTATTAAGAGATATAAGGAAAAGGAAATTGTGGAGAGCCATGATCGCCCACATTCCGAGGGGACACGGCGCAGAGAAGAAACTTTGAACTATTTTCCTGTGGTTTGCACACTGACACTTAAAGGTTAATATAAAAAATTCCGTACGTACCATATTCGATTCAAGCACACTGTTTTGCATTCCCCAAAAGTTTAGGTAACGCCTCATATCTCTAAATTATTATGAATAAAAGACTCACTATGAAAAAATTAAATTAAAAAAAAAACACTTGTGACAATATTCTGACGTCCGGACACTAAAAGTACACTAATTACTGTTTTTTTTCACCTGTCGTCAACAGAAAGGCTGACTATTATCTTTTGCGAATATTTAGGACAGTTATTCGGGCAGAACAATATCAAGAAATGTTTTAAGTATTTGTCGCCTTTGAATCTTGTGGACAGTGTAACTTGAGGATGGGTGTCAGCTCCTTACTAGATTATGCGATAAATTTCACCAGAACTTGGTCATGGCTTCAAATATTATGATGATAAAACTTAATGCGCATAAACTTATCTACAAACCTCTGTTTTCATTTAAAGAAAAATCATATTCTGCTGGGTACCGAATTATATTGGCATCCAGGGAAATGACAGAGCCGATAAAGCAGCCAAGCAATCACTGAAGCTAAGGCAATTAAACAACAAAATACAATACATAGACTACAAAGAAATCCTCAACAAGTATATGGAAAAAAGTTGGTAAAAGACTTAGGACTTTTGCTCAAACAATAAATTACATAAAATAAAACCAACAGTAGGAATGTGGGGTAGAGCTACACACTCTCCAGAAAAGAGGAGGGGAGACTGACCAGGCGATGTATAGGGCAAACATCAATCACGCACTCATGCCCTACTAAAAGAGGAGGCAGACCCCAATATGCATGATATGCCAGGAAAAGTAGATAGTAAGCCATATACTGACATGTAAGAACCTGAAACTAGCCTGAATCAAATATTCAGTCAGTTATGAGTCATACGATCATGTATCTTTCGATATATGGATTTGTATATAGTCAGTCATATATATATATATATATATATATATATATATATATATATGAAAATTTCTCCGATTTAACCAGTAGAGAAGACAAAATTACTGCTCTCACAAACAAATATACACAACAGATTCATAAAATCAAAAGCAAATGGTTGAATACATCAACACAGATATAATGACAATATTCTCCACACGTGACAAATACTGACGTTATTTTTCAGTTAAAAATATGAAAATAGCGTTTCTCTACATTCCAGTTGCTAGGTACATTCTGTTTTTATTAGTTACTTCAATTAATTTCATTTTCGTATTTTGCTTTGATAAAGTCCACATTGAACGAAACGCGTCAGCAATTACCAGTTTTCCTATTGTCATTTTTATTCATATATATATATATGACTGACGTTTTTTACCCCGCAGTAGTTTCATTTTTTTCTATGGTAGACCAGTTGCCATCCAAGGCTATAGAACCCGGTTTGTCTTGCTCTTTACTGGGAAGGGGGATGGAGAAGAAGAAGATTAATATCTTTCCCAAGGGTATTAGCACGTAAGTGAATGTACTGTGTTTTGAATGGAATTCGAACTCGGCTCTCCGTTTCAACAAATATTACCAAACGAATAATGTGAAAGAACTCTTTACCGGCGGGGACATACCGGATAATATTTTTAAATTCTTAAAAGAAACATCTATTTCCGGAAATCTGAAAAAAAAAAACTTAACTTTTAACATAAGCACAGGTTATAAATACAAAAACATTCTATAACTTTTGATACAATTATAATGTTTAAAAAAAAACTCTTAATTTCACTACGAAATGAAAATACGCAAATATAAAATCCCAACCCTTATTTGCTTTGGTATAATATGACTCACTAGTAGTTGATATGCCATTAAACAAAACAAATAAACCAAAATAGGTCGCTATTTTGTGGTTTAATTCTTCCATCTGACCAGTTTTATATTCTTATTTGAATGACGTACCCCATTGCTTCTCAAGGGACCTAGGCATCTCACTCAAATACATTTAACAGTTTATAAATGACTAACTACAACTTTTGACACAACTATAATGTTTTTTTAAAAAAAAGTTAATTTCGCTGCGAAATGATAATACCAAATATAAAATACCAACCCCTATTTGCTTTGGTGTAAGATGACTGTCATTAGGAGTCGATATGCCATTGAACAAAACAAACATAAATACTACTACTACTACTACTACTACTAATAATAATAATAATAATAATAATAATAATAATAATAATAATACAACACTTAGAGAAGAGTATGATTTAAGAAAAGAAAATATGTCCCAATTCAGGGTATGTCCACCATGTTCTCAATTTACTTCAAAGTGGCAGCTAAATGATTTATATATGTCATCCAATAGGTGGAGTAATGGATAGCGGCTCAGAATGCGGGCTCGGAGAGCCGAGTTCGAGTTCCAGTCGAATCCATTACATTCACTTACGTGTTAGTACCCTTGGGAAAGCTGTGAATCCTTTTCTTCTCCCCCTCCTTGCAGAAAGAAAAATGTGCCTCGTTAGTCATGTATCGAAAGATATATGATCGCCTAAGCGCTTATCACACATGGCACATGACTGGATATTCGACAGCTCTTAGAGAAGAGCACAATTTAAGAAAGGAAAACATGTCCCAATTCTTAGGAAATATTTGAAGTGTGGCGTCAATAATTTTGCTTGTTAATTTGAAATAGATTTCGATCATGGTGGCCATAATGTTGCACTGAATAAGAATCCGGTTCATATTTTGTTTTCTTTTATTGCGATCTTCTCTAAGTGTTCCATAATATTCGAATCATTTTATTTAAAAACGATAACAATTGGTACTAAAAAGCACTCGTGGAAATTTCACAGCATTCCTGTTTAAAATGGTGGTTTTTTTTCTTTATTTCTTTCTTTCTCTCGCTGAAACCAAGTAGCGTCTCTGATATGCCTTTTCCGTCTTTCCACGTGATCAAAACGGAACAGTCCATTATCCGAGTTACTGGCAGGGCGCAATGCACGTGCTAACTGAAAAAAAAAGGCGCAAGCAGAATAATAATAACTACAAAGATCCTTGAAAAAATGTCACGGTTTTCCTATTTTAATATTCTGATGAATCTTAATTCTTAAGTTAATAATTAAGTTAATTATTGTCGTAGAACTCTTCATGAGTTTACGCGTGGAAAGACGGAAAAGACATATAAGAAACACTATTCGGTTTCAGTGAGAGAAAGAAAGAAAGAAAGAAAGAAAGAAAGAAAGAAAGAAGATTAAATAGACGTGTTTAACGTCTGCTTCAGTGAAATGGAAAAAGTTGTCAGTTTCAAATCTTTTCATTTGTACCCCCTTACTTCTTAAAATAACGACCAGCATTCATATTTATGACTGTTCTTGCAACATTTTCTTATTGATAAGTTGTTAAGCACACATATTTTAACGATGTGATATGGGAATTTTTACGAATATTTTATTGTCGCAGAACTCGCCATGAGCTTATTAAATCATTAACTGAAGAATTAACATTCATTTAAATATTAAAATAAGAAAACCGTGAAAGGATAGATCAAGCGAATTCGATCATTGGAAATTCAAGCTTGGCATAACATCACGTTTTTCTTTTGTACTTTCTCAAAAAAGAATTATTACTTCCTTGTTGACGTTACTCACAATTAAATATACAGAAAATGGCAAAAGAATAAATAATGCTACACTAGTTGCATTTAAATGCCGTGCTCATTGAATCGAATCATCACGAGTTTTTGTTTCTATATAAAACCGAACTATTTATTAAATAAAAAAATAATGTAATGCAATAAAATCAAATAAATGCCAAAACGTTTACTACATCAAGAGTCGTGACATAAAACTGGTAAGTTGAAATAGGTGACATAAGTGAGAAAACAAGTTTCCTGGTGCGTGGGCCGTTCATCATTTGACCACTGGGAATCTATGTACAGATTAAATTATAATTATTCTACTTGTTTGTAAAATAGATCATTACGTCTTGCCAATATGACTGGATAAAAATTGTTCAATCGACCACATGAAAATGTCGCCAGCTCGTCTCAAACATCTTATGTTTTAATATCACTGTAGTCATTTTTTGTTTCTTTTTTTAATATCACCCACTCAGTCTGTCTGTCTTTCTTTCTTTCTTTCTTTCTTTCTTTTATTCTCAGCATCCTCCATCAAATCACATCTCTGTTGTCTCAGGTCACTCCTTTCTTTCTTTCTTTCTTTCTTCATCATCCACATCAAATCACCTCTGTTTCTCAGTTTCTTCATTTCTTTTTCTTACTTTTTTTTATTCTCAGCATCCGTCCATCAAATCACATCTCTGTTGTCTCAGGTCACCTCTTCATCTCCACACCTTCTTTTTCTTTCTTTTTTCTTTCTTTCTTTCTTTCTTTCTTTCTTTTATTCTCAGCATCCGTCCATCAAATCACATCTCTGTTGTCTCAGGTCACCTCTTCATCTCCACACTCCCTCTTTCTTTCTTTCTTTTATTCTCAGCATCCGTCCATCAAATTTCTGTTTTCTCAAGTCACCTCTTCATTTCTTTTTTCTTTTCTTTCTTTTTATTCTCAGCATCCGTCCATCAAATCACATCTCTGTTGTCTCAGGTCACCTCTTCATCTCCACACTCCTTCTTTCTTTCTTTCTTTCTTTGTTTCTTTCTTTTATTCTCAGCATCCGTCCATCAAATCACATCTCTGTTGTCTCAAGTCACCTCTTCATCTTCCTTTCTTTCTTTCTCTTTCTTTCTTTTACACACGTCCATCAAATCTGTTTCAGTTTCTTCATCTTTCTTTCTTTCTTTCTTTCTTTTATTCTCAGCATCCGTCCATCAAATCACATCTCTGTTGTCTCAAGTCACCTCTTCATCTCCACACACCTTCTTTCTTTCTTTCTTTTTTTCCTTCTTTCTTTCTTTCTTTCTTTCTTTTATTCTCAGCATCCGTCCATCAAATCACATCTCTGTTGTCTCAGGTCATCTTCATTCCTTTCTTTCTTTTCTTTGTTTCTTTCTTTCTTTCTTTCTTTTATTCTCAGCATCCGTCCATCAAATCACATCTCTGTTGTCTCAGGTCACCTCTTCATCTCCACACTCCTCTTTCTTTCTTTCTTTTATTTCTTTCAAATCACATTTCTGTTTTTCAAGTCACCTCTTCATCTCCACACTCCTTTCTTTCTTTTTCTTTCTTTCTTTTATTCTCAGCATCCGTCCATCAAATCACATCTCTGTTGTCTCAGGTCACCTCTTCATCTCCACACTCCCTCTTTCTTTCTTTCCTTCTTTCTTTCTTTTATTCTCAGCATCCGTCCATCAAATCCGTCCTTCAAATCTTCATCTCCTGTTGTCTTTCTTTTTTTATTCTCAGCAGTCCATCAAATCACATCTCTGTTGTTCATCTTCCTCCACACCTTCTTTCTTTCTTTCTTTCTTTTATTCTCAGCATCCGTCCATCAAATCACATCTCTGTCGTCTGTTCATCTCCACACTCCCTCTTTCTTTCTTTTCTTTCTTTTATTCTCTTCATCCGTCCATCAAACACATCTCTGTTGTCTCTTCATCTTTCTTTCTTTTCTTTCCTTCTTTCTTTCTTTTTTATTCTCAGCATCCGTCCATCAAATCACATCTCTGTTGTCTCAGGTCACCTCTTCATCTCCACACTCCTTCTTTCTTTCTTTCTTTCTTTCTTTTATTCTCAGCATCCGTCCATCAAATCACATCTCTGTTGTCTCAGGTCACCTCTTCATCTCCACACTCCTTCTTTCTTTCTTTCTTTCTTTTATTCTCAGCATCCGTCCATCAAATCACATCTCTGTTGTCTCAAGTCACCTCTTCATCTCCACACTCCTTTCTTTCTTTCTTTCTTTCTTTCTTTTATTCGCAGCATCCGTCCATCAAATCACATCTCGTTGTCTCAGTTCACCTCTCTTTCTTTTCTTCTTTCTTTCTCTTTCTTTTATTCTCAGCATCCGTCCATCAAATCACATCTCTGTTGTCTCAAGTCACCTCTTCATCTCCACACACTTTCTTTTTTTCTTTCTTTTATTTTCCATCAAATTTTTTTTTCTTTCTTTTCTTTCTTTTCTTTTTATTCTCAGCATCCGTCCATCAAATCACATCTCTGTTGTCTCAGGTCACCTCTTCATCTCCTCACTCCCTCTTTCTTTCTTTCTTTCTTTCTTTCTTTCTTTCTTTTATTCTCAGCATCCGTCCATCAAATCACATCTCTGTTGTCTCAAGTCACCTCTTCATCTCCACACACCTTCTTTCTTTTCTTTCTTTCTTTTTTATTCTCAGCATCCGTCCATCAAATCACATCTCTGTTGTCTCAAGTCACCTCTTCATCTCCACATCCGTCCATCAAATCACATCTCTGTTTTTTCATTTCTCTTTTCTTTCTTTCTTTCTTTTATTCTCAGCATCCGTCCATCAAATCACATCTCTGTTGTCTCAAGTCACCTCTTCATCTCCACACTCCTTTCTTTCTTTCTTTCTTTCTTTCTTTTATTCGCAGCATCCGTCCATCAAATCACATCTCTGTTGTCTCAGTTCACCTCTTCATCTCCACACTCCTTCTTTCTTACTTTCTTTCTTTCTTTCTTTTATTCTCAGCATCCGTCCATCAAATCACATCTCTGTTGTCTCAAGTCACCTCTTCATCTCCACACACCTTCTTTCTTTCTTTCTTTTTTTCTTTCTTTCTTTCTTTCTTTTATTCTCAGCATCCGTCCATCAAATCACATCTCTGTTGTCTCAGGTCACCTCTTCATCTCCACACTCCCTCTTTCTTTCTTTCCTTCTTTCTTTCTTTCTTTTATTCTCAGCATCCGTCCATCAAATCACATCTCTGTTGTCTCAGGTCACCTCTTCATCTCCACACTCCTTTCTTTTCTTTCTTTCTTTCTTTTTTCTTTCTTTTATTCTCAGCATCCGACCATCAAATCACATCTCTGTTGTCTCAGTTCACCTCTTCATCTCCACACTCCTTCTTTCTTTCTTTCTTTTTTCTTTTTCTCTTTCTTTTATTCTCAGCATCCGTCCATCAAATCACATCTCTGTTGTCTCAGGTCACCTCTTCATCTCCACACTCCTTTCTTTCTTTCTTTCTTTCTTTCTTTTATTCTCAGCATCCGTCCATCAAATCACATCTCTGTTGTCTCAAGTCACCTCTTCATCTCCCACACCTCTTTCTTTCTTTCTTTTTTTTCTTTTCTTTTTTTCTTTCTTTTTTATTTTCTCATTTGTTGTCTCAAGTCATCTTCATCTCCATCAAATCACTTTTCTTTCTTTTATTCTCAGCATCCTCCATCTTCATCTGTTGTCTCAAGTCACGTCTTCATCTTTCTCTTTCTTTTCTTTCTTTTTTTTTATTCTCAGCATCCGTCCATCAAATCACATCTCTGTTGTCTCAGGTTCACTTTCTTTTTTCTTTCTCTTCATCTCAGCATCGTCCATCAAATCCATCTCCGTTGTCTTCACGTCTTCACTTTCTTTCTTTCTTTTTTTTATTCTCAGCATCCGTCCATCAAATCACATCTCTGTTGTCTCAGGTCACCTCTTCATCTCCACACTCTTTCTTTCTTTTTTTTTCTTTCTTTCTTTCTTTCTTTTTTTATTCTCAGCATCCGACCATCAAATCCACATCTCTGTTGTCTTTCTTTTTTTCTTTCTTTCTTTCTTTTTCTTTCTTTTATTCTCAGCATCCGTCCATCAAATCTCATCTCTGTTGTCTCAGTTCACCTCTTCATCTCCACACTCCTTTTCTTTCTTTTCTTTCTTTCTTTTATTCGCAGCATCCATCCATCAAATCACATCTGTTGTTGTCTCACCTTTCTTTCTTTCTTTCTTTCTTTCTTTTATTCATCCGTCCATCAAATCACATCTCTGTTGTCTCAGTTCACCTCTTCATCTCAACACTCCTTCTTTCTTTCTTTCTTTCTTTCTTTTATTCTCAGCATCCGTCCATCAAATCACATCTCTGTTGTCTCAAGTCACCGCTTCATCTCTCTTTATTTCTTTCTTTTTTTCTTTCTTTCTTTCTTTTTTTTATTTTCCGTTCAAATTCTCAGCATCGTCCATCAAATCACATCTCCGTTGTCTTTCTTTTCTTTTTTCTTTCATTCTCAGCATCCGTCCATCAAATCTCATCTTTTCTTTCACCTTTCTTTCTTTTTTCTTTTATTCTCAGCATCCTCCATCAAATCACATCTCTGTTGTCTCAGGTCACGTCTTCATCTCCACCTCTTTTCTTTCTTTGTTTCTTTCTTTCTTTCTTTTATTCTCAGCATCCGACCATCAAATCACATCTCTGTTGTCTCAGGTCACCTCTTCATCTCCACACTCCCTCTTTCTTTCTTTCTTTCTTTCTTTCTTTTATTCTCAGCATCCGACCATCAAATCACATCTCTGTTGTCTCAGGTCACCTCTTCATCTCCACACTCCTTCTTTCTTACTTTCTTTCTTTCTTTCTTTTATTCTCAGCATCCGACCATCAAATCACATCTCTGTTGTCTCAGGTCACCTCTTCATCTCCACACTCCTTCTTTCTTTCTTTCTTTTATTCTCAGCATCGTCCATCAAATCACATCTCCGTTGTCTCAAGTCACGTCTTCATCTCCACACTCCCTCTTTCTTTCTTTCTTTCTTTCTTTCTCAGCATCCGTCCATCAAATCACATCTCTGTTGTCTCAGGTCACCTCTTCATCTCCACACTCCTTTCTTTCTTTCTTTCTTTTATTCTCAGCATCCGACCATCAAATCACATCTCTGTTGTCTCAAGTCTCCTCTTCATCTCCACACTCTTTCTTACTTTCTTTTTTTCTTTCTTTCTTTCTTTCTTAGCATCCGTCCATCAAATCACATCTGTTGTCTCAAGTCTCATCTTCATCTGTGCGGAGATTTCCTGTAGTAATGGTGTTTGGTAACAGCATATACTTTGACCCCGTACTACGACAAAGAAAGCCTCCATGTATAAAGCAATATCTCTTCTTGATTCCTTCGTCTTTGTCCGTTGTAAATCAATCGTGATCAGTATTTCAGTATTTTAAGGAGTTGGCAGAAGTAGACCCCATGAAAAGACGATCAAAATAGTTTAATTCCGAAGGTCATGAAGCAAACAATCTCACAAATCAACTATATTCTGACTTTTTGAAAGTAATGTCATTTTTTTTTTTAGAATCAAATCATTCAAATTTAACTTTATTTGTCAAGAAGATAATCTTCATTGTCCACAACGACAAAAGCTCAACATGAAATTAATACCCTTTTTTTCCTTTATTGGAAGAATGTGGCTTTGTGAAAGAAACACCCATGTCAAAAACTAAACCACTGCAATGTCATGATGAGTAGCCAGAGGAATGTGGTAGATTTCGTCTATTATAAGCGTTTAGAAATAAGGTAAATCAATTATAGTAGATCTTTACTATAAAAAAATGTTTTAAGAATTAAAATTTACGTAAAGGTAACTTAATGTTGTCAACAAAACGTTTAATATTCCTCAGATTGATGATGCAAATATTCTCTCGGGAAAATAATCTCTTTCTGTTTTATATTAACGGCCTGCATTGAAACGTTTAGGTTACTAGAAAATATATATGCAGATGACACCACAGTTTATTAAATCATATTAAAAAAAATCTCGTTGGACAAACACTGGCAGCTGATCTGTCCTCTGACCTTTCTCTAACAGTTAAACGATGGAAAAACAACTGGCTTTTAACGTTCAATGTCTCCAAAACCAGCCTAGTTGCATTTTATCACCACTGCTCAAAGCTTGACTCTTCTCCTGTCATGATGAACTCAATAAATCTTAATTATATTGGGATATCCAAATATACACCCTTGTGCAAATTAATTGAATCAACCACTTTAGTTTCATTTCTTTCACCATACGGTCAGTTTTAGTCCCACTAGAGTGACAGGGTGTAATCGATTTCTATTTTTTCTCATATTAGGTCATTTGCAGTGGTGTGCAGTAATATGAATCTATTTTCGGAGTGTATGATGAAATTTGTTCGACCTTAAAAAATATTGCGTCATCCGTGATTGCATTAGATTTTTACCACTCCCAGACACTATTGTCTCGATTGTCGATTAGTTGTCCTACGGCCATTGTCTGCGATGGACGTTACTCCAAGGAAGCGTACAAAAATTGTAACGCTGCACGAACACACTGACAAGCCTCACCAGAGAGCAAATCAAAGTACTATTGACTGAGCCGGAATCTCTCCTGATTTAAATCCAATCGAGAATCTGTGATCAATCTGCAAGGAACGACTTCGTGGAACACAGAAGAAAAATCAGTATACAACAGAAATCAAAGGAAATAATAAAATGACAACAATAATATCAACATCAGATCAGAAAAATAAGCGACCTGCTGAAATATCCTTTCATTGAAATTTTTTCATCTATTGTCTGAAAACAAGCGCGCTTGAATGAAATATCCACACAGCTGGAAACCAATACAAAAGAAATTCAAGCCTGTTGTGTACACCATCTGTGAGTCTAAAAATTAACAAGGAAATATCCAGTTCCATTTCAAAAGACGATGAAATTCTTCCGCTGCTACGTTCGTCAATCGTGGTTTATAAATTTCACCTGTGAAACATACTTTGTATTCCACTGAGAAAAATACTTTAGCTTTTGTAAAAAGAAAACCATGGAATCATGCCACACCGCCAACAATAGATCACTAACAAAAAATATCGTAGACTTTCGTTACGTTGTTACATTGTTATCAATTGCAATTATCGTCTGGAATATACAGATACCGCTGAAGCTACAGCCGAACTTGTTACATTGTAAATGACGCCAGTAAGACTCGCCCGTTCTTAGAAAATTAAAATACTTTAAATAAAAAAAAAAAATCAGTTACATCAGTTAAAATAAACTTGATCAAATTATTACGTTGTTCAGAAAGTGATGTACTTTTGGTAAGAAAAAATCCGTTTAGCTGTAAACCTTAATTTTATGGTCCAAGAACATAATTCTTCGGCTATAAATTTAACAAATTGCACGTTACACCCGGTAGTAAAAAGTAAACAAACCCAATGAAACATTATTTATTCTTTCTTTTTATTTCCAAAGAATAGTTCATTTGGAGAATTTGACACTAACAATACATATATTAAAGGCAATATTGATTGATTTGTCTTATACGACTTAACCATCTGCAGGTTATTCAAAGCCAGAAAATACTTTTAGATTGTAAGATTGGTTGGAGGTAATAATGATTTACTGATAAAACTCCTACTATTTAATTGATGTGGGGCCAAAGTTGGGACCACAGAAGTAAAACACGGAACACGGATTAGATGTAAGAAAGATATATTAACAACAGGTTACAGAGATAGTGTAAGCGGAGCTTTCTATATCACTCTCTATGTCACTCTATGTCTCTCAGTGTGACTCTCTATGTCACTCTCTATGTCCCTCAGTGTGACTCTGTATGTCAATATTTATTGTTATAAATACAAACAAATGTGGCACAAGGCCAAAAAGGGGGATTGGGGAATGACGGTCTTCTTCTGTCATTAATCTAAAACTTAGCTAGTCACAGACACTGACCCAGACATGCCAACAATAAACCAATCACCAAAACATCACATTCACTCCTACCATTCTTACTACGTCCACCATAATACCTCAGTTTCTCTATGACGTCCTAACTAGTCCCCATATATACAAATATTGTTCATGGGGGAGGGTCATAAAATTAAACAACTTTTAAAAAGGTCCCCAAATGTGTATTTACAGAATGAACTAAATATTTACAATAAAACTAAACAAAACTGAGTTAGTAATAAACCCCCCCACAAACTATGAATGTGGCAGAAATGTCAGTTAACCAGACGAAATCGATGCGGGACTAAGCAAATAAGTAGACATTCAGACCATCAAGCATTCACACAAACACTCACTCATTCATACACAACAACAAATACGAAAAACACACACCTGAAACGAAAGGCGTCCAGCATCCACCAGAAAACTGACATCACTAACCACCTAACGAGGGAGGGATGGGGAATTAAACAAAAGCAAAAAAAATAGGGACAGAAATAAAAGGGACCAATGAACTTACATACCCTAGCTAAGTTTAACGGGAAAAAAAAAAGAAAAAACTAAATATTCAATAACAAAAACCTAGTCTAACCTAATATTTGGGTGGGTTGCCAAAGTTAAACCCTGTTAGGACAATATTCTGTGCCTAACTGACATCTAAATGCCACTCAAGGTCAGCCCCTTTCACTCTCTACACATTCGCGCAAGATTCACCCACCTTTTGGCGAATTCTGATGATGGGAGCCGCCGCCTTTCCGTCCTAATCTTGACTTTAAGCTGATGCCTAAAGTACAAGATCAGTTGGGAAGAGGCGAACTTCTCGCCTTCATAGAATCCTTCTGTCGCGTCGTCCAAATCACGACTCGCATAACCCCTAGTAAGCAACAGAACACATAGTGTTCAACCTTCGTCAATTGCGATACCACATTGCTACAAACAGAACTGGCTTCCAGGACAAAAAAACTTTCCCTGCAGCATGCGAACCATGAGGCCTTCAACAAACTTGCACAACGGCACTACCGCACTGCACTGAAAAAGGCGTGACCAATGGTCTCGACATTCCCAGTACAGCGACGACAGTTTGGATATTTCTCCAAGCCTGCTGAACAAAGTCTTTTGCCGACCCAGAGGGCCCCGCGAATCATCAGCCAGGTGAGTGATGCCTCATCGTTATTGAGGCATTTCAACCCAGGCGCCCAAGGCCAAACCGAGCGAGCCTCCTGCTTCGTAAGACCGAGCTCGTCGATCAGATCATCTTGAACGGCCCCCTAACTAACACACGATATAATGCCTTACGAGACAACGCTTGGGCGTCGGAGAGGCCAACCGACGACCGCAAGAGGAGCTTCAAAGCGCGACGACATTCACGATAGAAGGAGCACTCGCCACGAGGAGTACGACCGGCCTCCTCCTCGCACGAGTGCACACTTCTCAGGGATGGGAAATGTTTACGGACATCTTCTTTCCAAAAGGTGCCCACCTCATCCAAACCGCGACACATTCGGTCGAGAAAGGTAATGCGTAGCATATATTGACGAATCTCAATGCTAGGCATTCCCAGACCGCCCTCAGAGGGATGAAGGCAACAGATCTCGCGAGATGCCATGTGGGCCTTGCCTCTCCACAAGAAAGAGAACAAGGCCTTGACTAACGATGTTAGTCGGGCACACGGGAGTGGAAGCACAGAAAGACGGTAGAGGAGTATCGGATAGATGTGGGAACCACAAACTTCCGCCCTTCCCTTCAGGGAAAGTCCCTCCGAGACCACAGACTAGCCGCGACCTCGGCCCGCCCCTGTACCTCCGACCAATTCTTTTCCAACTGGAGATCAGGACCGAACCAGACGCCGAGTATCTTGATCGGCCCATCCGTCCAGAGGAAAGGTCCGGGAAGAGAAACTCCCTTCCACGCACCCAACCGCAAGCCCACAGACTTATCGCGGTTGATTTTGGCCCCTGTCACCATCTCATAGCCACTGATCTGCTTACTGACTTCGTTAATCTCGGCTCTGCTCGACACAAGAACCGAAACGTCGTCAGCATAGGCAGAATACCTGGCCGAGGTGTTAGCACCAGGCAGCGAAATACCGCGTAGGACCGGATTCGCCTTTAACTTGCGAAGGAAAGGCTCCAACGCAAGAACGTAAAGCAGAGGCGATAGCGGACAACCTTGACGAATGGAGCGAGACAATACGAAAGGCTTTGATCTTACCCCATTCACTTCCACCAGCGCACCGGGGGTCGCATACAAGAGACGGATCCAGGAGCGAAAGTCGG